GGTTAAACCCGTGTGGGTCATATAGCTGCTGAGGAATGGGAGGTAATGAGGTTCGATTCAAGGATGGAGTAGATAAGTCCAGTTCCTTGAATCAAGAGCCATTCCCCGGCAACAAGGCGCGTCTTGTGGTGGTAAAAAAGGCACAGATGCAGTATAACGCGATCCTAAATTAACGACACAGTCATCCGTGTGAGCAAAACTTCGACACTGAATGATCGATTTAAACTTTATTTCTCTCTTTTATCATGGTGTTTGTATTTTATACTATTTGTGTGTACTTGTTTTGAGGAGTTGTTGTTGTATGACTGTGTTGCTTGTGGTGTCAAGTAGGTCGCTGTATAACCCTGGTGGTTTAGTGGGTCTTTTTTATTATAATAATAATGTCAAGTAGGTACCAAGTCATTGTTATTGCTTTAAGTTTCTGTGATGTCTTCCTTAAAACATTCACTACAGATCGTTCATACTCACTCGACACTAAAATTTCCCTCCCAAGATACCAGTGTAACACCAAACGCTAATTTTCTTCCATCCATTTCAACACCACCTCTCGTAGTAACATGAGGCTGTTCAGAGATCATCGTATGTGATTTATCAAATGCTAATCAAATATTCAAATGCTAACGTAAGCTGCCATCACTTACGGCAGGTAGATAAAGCTGCAAGTGGGTGAGTGATGTGTCTTAGAGCAGTGAGCAACTCCTTTCTCTAAATACAGTAAATGTAGGGATGATGCGAAGGTGATTAAAGTCAGTGTTCTCTAGGAAGGGACCAAGTACACTCCTTTATGGTATGTTGGTAACACTGAAGCGACTTACTTGCTCTGTTCCATTAAGAACTTTTTTTTTTATTTTTTATTTAAAGTATACAGTATACATGCATATCACACATTGACGTAATCACAATACATGAAACCATTTATAAGAAAACATCCTTATAACTAACGGATGACAACCTACACCTGAACATACATAATAAAATTGCCACTAGCCAATTAAGAACTAGCCTATGAGATCGAACTTGAAAGTAGCCGTTCTGGTGGTGTAAATAGCTCCAGATATACCTTGTGTTTTCTGTATATGTTTACTAATACACCTTTGATTGTGTCTTGATGGTGTAGGTGAGCATCGATCCCAGCGACGCTGCTGAGAGTGTCTTGACGGTACATAAAACTGCAGAACCTCCTGGACCCGCCCAAGCAGCCTTCCTCGACCTGGTCCCTGGTAAGTCCTCCTCCTCCTTTTCCTCCTTCTAAACTTCCCCAACCTCTTCCTACTCTTCTTCCTTGTCCTTCTTCCCCCCCTCTTCCTTGTATTATTCTTCTCTTCCTTTTCCTCTTCTTCTCTTCTTCCTCCTCCTCCACCTGCAATTTTTCCTCTTCTTCCTCCTTCTCTTCCTTTTCCTCCTAAATTAGTGGTGCACTCTTACATGAACAAGTAACCCGCACATAGGAGAAGGACAAACATGAGAACGTTTTGTTACGACTTGTAGTATTAACAAGTCACACACACACCAGCGAGAAGGTAGGGAGCCACTTTATATACCAGAGGGACGGGAGAAACACACCAGGAAGAAGAAATAATGAAAGGAAGTACTGATAGTAGAGGTAGTAATGAAAGGTAATAGTGATAGTAGAGGTAGTAATAAAAGGTAATAGTGATAGTAGAGGTAGTAATAAAAGGTAGTAGTGATAGTAGAGGTAGTAATAAAAGGTAGTAGTGATAGAGATAGTAATAAAAGGTAGTAGTGATAGTAGAGGTAGTAATAGTAGTGGTAGTAGTAAGTAGGGGAAGTGAGGCGAGAGTTAGTGAAGCGTAGCGAGGCAATAGTAGTAGTAGTAGTAGTAGTAGTAGTGGTGGTAGTAGTAATAGTAGTGGTGGTGGAGGAAGTGTAAGGACAAGAAACAGCAACACTGCATGAGAGGTAATGGTCCACGAGGGCGGGACCAAAATCAGGGCGGGAAAAACTCGTAGGACAAAACACAGCTAGTTAATACAAAGGAAAAGCAGAGAAAATACGAAAAATGAGAAGAGATAGGAGATAAAGATCAGGTCAAGTCACGAGTGTTGTCAAGTTGGAAGCAGTTGACAATGTGATGAGAAAGGAAGTCATCTACAGAGACAAAGTCAGTGCTAAGATTCATATTTGGGAAGTTATGTGTAAGGGATGCTTCAACAAGACGACGTCATTAGTTCACTTTTTTTCTTGTCTCTAGACTTCCTCCACTACTACAACTGCTACTATTGCCTCGCTACGCTCCACTCTGACTCTTATGTCACTACCTCTACCTACAACTACTTCCACTACTATTACTACTTCCTTATATTTCTTCTCTCTGTGTCGTCCCCGCCTCCCTCTCGTGTACGTACTTGCTCCCTACCTTCTTTCTTCTGTGTCACTAGTTAATGATTCAACTCGGACCCAAACGTCCTTATAAGTTTCTTCTTTGAGCGAGTTATTTGTGCATTGTTCAAGTCATGGTATTGTACCTTTTTTTGTCTTTGTGCACTTTTCAATCTCCCCCTTTAAAAGTGGTGTACTTCTGTGTTTTATACGTAAATTATATATATATATATATATATATATATATATATATATATATATATATTATATATATATATATATATATATATATATATATATATATAAGATAAGAAGAAAATTCTCAAAGTGGGAAGTCTGAATGTGCATGGATGTTGTGCGAATGATAAGAAAGAGATGCTTGTGGATGTTATGAATGAGAAGAAGCTGGATGTCCTGGATTTAAGTGAAACAAAGCTGAAGGGGGTGGGAGTGTTTCAGTGGAGAGGAATAAATGGGATTAGGTCAGGGGTTTCAAGCAGAGTTAGAACTAAAGAAAGAGTAGCAATAATGTTGAAGGATAAGCTATGGCAGGAAAAGAGGGACTATAAATGTATTATTTCAAGGATTATGTGGAGTAAAATAAAGGTTGGATGTGAGAAGTGGGTTATAGTAAGCATATATGCACCTGGAGAAGGAAGAAGTGTAGAGGAGAGAGAGAGATTTTGGGAAATGTTGAGTGAATGTGTGGGGAGTTTTGAACCAAGTGTGAGAGTACTTGTGGTTGGGGATTTCAATGCTAAAGTGGGTAAAAATGTTGTGGAGGGAGTAGTAGGTAAATTTGGGGTGCCAGGGGTAAATGAAAATGGGGAGCCTTTAATTGAGCTATGTGTAGAAAGAAGTTAGGTAATAAGTAATACATATTTTATGAAAAAGAGGATAAATAAATATACAAGGTATGATGTAGCACGTAATGAAAGTAGTTTGTCAGATTATATATTGGTGGACAAAAGGTTGGTAGGCTCCAGGATGTACACGTTGATAGAGGGGCAACTGATATATCGGATCTTTATCTAGTTGTAGCTACAGTTAGAGTAAGAGGTAGATGGGACAAAAGGAAAATGGCAGAAACAAGTAAGAGGGAGGTGAAAGTGTATAAACTAAGGGAGGAGGAAGTTCGGGTGAGATATAAGCAACTATTGGCAGAAAGGTGGGCTAGTGCAAGTATGAATAGTGGGGAGGTTGAAGAGGGTTGGAATAGTTTTAAAAATGCAGTATTAGAATGTGGGGCAGAAGTTTGTGGTTATAGGAGGGTGGGTGCAGGAGGAAAGAGGAGTGATTGGTGGAATGATGAAGTAAAGGGTGTGATAAAAGAGAAACATGTAGCTTATGAGAGACTTTTATAAAGCAGAAGTGTTATAAGAAGAGCAGAGTATATGGAGAGTAAAAGAAAGGTGAAGAGAGTTGTGAGAGAGTGCAAAAGGAGAGCAAATGATAGAGTGGGAGAGGCACTGTCAAGAAATTTTAATGAAAATAAGAAAAATTTTTTGTAGTTAAACAGGTTAAGAAAGCCTAGGGAACAAATGGATTTGTCAGTTAAAAACAGAGTAAGGGTGTTAGTAGATGGGGAGAGGGAGGTATTAGGTAGATGGCGAGAATATTTTGAGGAACGTTTAAATGTCGACGAAGAAAGGGAGGCGGTAATTTCATGCACTGGCCAGGGAGGTATACCATCTTTTAGGAGTGAAGAAGAGCAGAATGTAAGTGTGGGGGAGGTGCGTGAGGCATTACGTAGAATGAAAGGGGATGAAGCAGCTGGAACTGACGGGATCATGACAGAAATGTTAAAAGCAGGGGGGGATATAGTGTTGGAGTGGTTGGTATTTTTGTTTAATAAATGTATGAAAGGGGAAGGTACCTGAGGATTGGCGGAGAGCTTGTTTAGTCCCATTATATAAAGGGAAGGGGGACAAAAGAAATTGTAACAATTATAGAGGAATAAGTTTACTGAGTATACCAGGAAAAAGTGTACGGTAGGGTTATTATTGAAAGAATTAGAGGTAAGACAGAATGTAGAATTGCGGATGAGCAAGGAGGTTTCAGAGTGGGTAGGGGATGTGTAGATCAAGTGTTTACATTGAAGCATATATGTGAACAGTATTTAGATAAAGGTAGGGAAGTTTTTATTGCATTTATGGATTTAGAAAAGGTATATGATAGAGTGGATAGGGGAGCAATGTGGCAGATGTTGCAAGTATATGGAATAGGTAGTAGGTTACTAAATGCTGTAAAGAGTTTTTATGAGGATAGTGAGGCTCAGGGTAGCGTGTGTAGAAGAGAGGGAGAATACTTCCCGGTAAAAGTAGGTCTTAGACAGGGATGTGTAATGTCACCATGGTTGTTTAATATATTTATAAATGGGGTTGCAAAAGAAGTAAATGCTAGGGTGTTCGGGAGAGGGGTGGGATTAAATTATGGGGAATCAAATACAAAATGGGAAGTGACAGTTACTTTTTGCTGATGATACTGTGCTTATGGAAGATTCTAAAGAAAAATTGCAAAGGTTAGTGGACGAATTTGGGAGTATGTGTAAAGGTAGAAAGTTGAAAGTGAACATAGAAAAGAGTAAGGTGATGAGAGTATCAAATGATTTAGATAAAGAAAAATTAGATATCAAATTGGGGAGGAGGAGTATGGAAGAA